TGTTTTTGAGATCTTTGACTTATGGTTTTTCATGATATGAGATAACATTGATGGCGTTTTCATTAATCTGTTTTATGAATCTTTAAATTAAAAGTGAAATTTTTGGTCTTGAATTTTTGGGATGTTACACCAATGTTATGTTATGTGATTATGTGATAATGTGATTATGTGTATGGTATGTGGTAGTTTGGGGAGACTTGCTAAGCTTCGTGCTTACAGTTTTCAGTTTTAGTTTCAGGTAATTCCGGTAGCAAGGGGAAGAGCTCGGGATGATTGCAGTGCATACACTATTTGCTTAGCCTGGGATGTTTATACTCTGATATATTTTGACAGATGTTATGATATTTTGAGATACACGACTTATGAATTTTATATGATCTTTGATGACTATGGTTTTCTTAATGATTTAAAATGAAATTTTTGGACTGTATTTTTCGGATGTTACAGTCAATCTCTATTTTTAGAAGGTAGACTTAAGGTTTTGCCTTGTGTGAATTGTTCGGAGGTGTTTAACACCTATCTTTTGGCGGTGAGAGTTGTTGGTTGTGGTTGGTGCGGTGTTGCGCGAGGTTTCAGTCAGCATTGTGATTCAGGTAAGTCTCTTCACTATACTTGGGGGTCAAAGCCACCAATGTTGACCCATTGGATTATATTATATAGGAGGACCAGGGGGTGACCCCTGACAATTGTTTAAAAGACATGGAGGTGGCTCCCGACAAATTGTATCCAAGACCAGGGACCAGACCCTAGCAATTATATGTAGTATGCTAGTTGTCTTTGTAATACTTGCATGGAAGACCAGAAGGTGGCTCTTGGCACTTGTCTGTAAGACCTAGGGTTTTGGCCCCCGACTTGGCAAGGAAAAACCATGATACGACTCATGGAATAATGGCAAGACTATGGTTGGCACATAGCAATCTCTATTGTATGTTGGTATGTAGTATTTTGGGGAAATCACTAAGCTTTGTGCTTACAGTTTTATGTCCATGGTTTCAGGTACTTCTGGTACGAAAGGGAAGGGTCCAGTGTGACTGCACAGCATACCCAGAGTTTTCCGCATTGACACATTATGAGCTTTACTCTGATGTTGAAATAATATATTCATTTTGATCGATTTTGGAACAACTCGTTTGTATGGTTTATTGTTTTAAAAATAAAAATTTTACTATGAATTTTTGGGACGTTACACCTTAGGTAAAAATAAATGATTATTTAATGACAAAATGTCCAAAATGTCAAACATTACAAGATATAGAGAGTTAATTTAAAGTGGCTACATGTTATTTCTTTTTGTTAGTGGCACAATACAAATGTTATTGAGATGTTGTAATACCAAGGGTTAATTAGACATTTCACAATCAATGGAAAAACGAAAAAGAGGACTGCACATACCTACTGTTCTCTAATTAAGGAGAGGGGGAGATATGAGATTAAGTGAATAAGCATGAAGTACACTCTTTCGAGCCCTATCACGCCAACAAAGGTATTATGTCCCTGTAAGTATGTAACCAATATAGAAGAGTACGAGAAACCTAAATCGTCTGTGTGTGAGCATGATTCTGAAGTGATGATAAAAACATGGTCCATAAGAAGAGTGGTAGATATTGTGAGCAGTGTGCAATAAAACCCTTAAAATAGATTGAGGAAGATAACACCGATATAGTAACACATATTGAAACCCTAAATCATTGTTGATTTTGTGAGGTGTGAGTGATGGTGGCAATAATAAGGTGGAGAGTAGTGAAGTTGAGACTTTGTGAAGCCCTATGAGCACGACAAAGACAAGGTGATGGAGTAACTCTAGATCATTGGATTTTGTTTTCGTGTGTGGTGAAGGGGACTAAGCTCAAGAGTGTTTTGAGAACCAATTCAATAAGGAGTGATAGATGGAATCTATGGGAAAATAATAAGGAGACATCAACTTATTTTTAGATGATACACAAAATATAAAGTGTATCTCGTGTTTTTTCTAAATTAATTTTATGACAATAAAAGATGACATATAATTTTGTTTGTTATTGTTCGTGTGTCGTTAAAGGTTATTTTTTTAGTAGTGAAGGCGCGTCATTAAATTTGTAGCATGCAAGAAAGGCAATCACAAAGTGAATTGGAAAGGCAACAAAGAGAAACACAAGCGGAAATGCAACGAATGCAATCTATACTTAAAGCACAAATGGCGACGTATTTCAGTCAAAACAATCCACTCGGTAATCCATTAAGTACTTCTTCGTTTTATGCTTCTAAACACTTGATAATTATATTTGACACTTCCTTGTAATGTATTGGGATAATACCAAAAAAGTATCAAGTTTTACACTTTTATTTGGCAAAAGCCCTAACTTTCCTTTGTTTGTTAGTAACAACCATGATTTTCGGATAAACTTTCATTTTTAACCTATTGTTCGGTAATCCTTATTTTTTTTTTTAAATGAAAGATTTTTTGAAAACTAATAGTTTTTACCTAAAAGAAAAGTTAGAGCTTTTTCCATCAAAGTGTGTAAAACTTGAGACTTTTTTAGGCAAATACAAAAAGGTCTCAAGTTTTACACACTTATTGGAAAAAGCCCTAACTATTTTTTGTAGGTAAAAACCATAATTTTTCCGAAAAGATTTTATTTTCAAAAAATAAAGATGACCGGATAATAGGTTACAATTGAAATGTCAGATGAAAACTTAAAGTTTCTATCAAAAAAAAAAAGTTATGACTTTTGCCAATCGAACATGTAAAACTTAGACTTTTTTGGTATTTGTCCTAATGTATTTGACACCTAAGATATTTGGCACTTTTTATTATAATGTCTAATTATAGGTTTTATGTAATGGTTTTTTCTGTATTTTTGGTCAAAAATAATTGGATTTTTTTAAATTTTTAATGATTTAAAAAAACTTTTTATCAATGGATTAGTGACGGAAACTACTGTCATGGAAAGTAAAAATAGGTTGTCGGAAATCCGTCAGTGAAATAGTTCAACAAAGTTTAACAACGTAAAAGAAACTCAGTCGGAAATCCATCGGTAAAGGTGATGTCGGTAATCGGTTGCTAAAAATGTATATCGGAATCCGTCGGAAAGGCCGTCGGTGATGTGGTCAAACAAGGTAGAGAAGTTCAAAGAGTGTCCATTTGAAATTCCTCAATAATTACGTTGGAAATCCGTCGATTATTTACCCACAAGATGTTATCCGACAGACTGGATTCCGTGAAATAACCTTTACGGAGGGAAAACCAACACAAAAGGCCGTAGGAAATGACCGCGTTTTTGTAGTAGTACGCTATGTGAATATCCTATTCGAATAAAAAAAACCTGTGAACTTATTGGTGAGGGATAGTTCCGGCCCTCTCAATTATTAAAGGTTTATTACATTGAAGTTGACTCTTTGACTTGCAGCTTGTCGACAAATCATAAACCCTTAATAATATGAGATTCTATTGCAATCGTAAGTGCCAAATTATCCTCCATTTCTTTTACTCTACAATGATCTTGGTTCTCGTTTATGTATTAATACCCTCAAATTCACTCTGGAAAATAACATTTTCAAGAAATGAATATCGCCATTGCAATTTTTATTTCATAAACCATGAATTTCTTGAATTGCTAGTTACCTTTTAGGCTGATCAGTTTCACTGTGGCGTGGACCAGTATTTGTTCTAGTGCCTGAAGACTTTTTACATAGATAAAAAATCCGTAAAAATGAAATTATCTCTTGTAGTTCAGCATTGTTTGACCTTGCATCTCGTACGTCGGCCTGCTGTTAAAAAAAGAAAGAAGATTGGAAAATCTGGTACGTCAGCCTGACATCATTGATATCACTCATTTTATCTTTCGAAAGCATCACACAAGACCGGCCAGTTAATCATAGTTTAGGCTAGATATATAAATGTGTCCTTATATGCATTTGATACTACACTCCAGTGTTTAGTACTGCATGCCTACCTCTTAATTACTTCCTCACTATTCATTTTTATGTACCATGAATTGCTAATACAATCCTAACGTGTTAACTATCACTTCTCTCTTTCCATCGAAAAAGCTCACTCTCCTAATTTAATTTAATATTGCTCCCTTCATAAAACATAATGATCAATAAACCTAATTAGGGTTTTTTTTTCAACCTTTAGAAGGACTAGAAAGGGTGACGGAAATGATGCAAATGGGTACTGGGTACTCATATATATACATTTATGTATACAGGGGAAAACAAAGTAGTAATTCCCACAAAAAAGATTAGTAGATACTCCTAAAAGCAAAATCAATAATGCTAAGGAGTAATATTTGTAAATTCAGAAGAAAACAAAGAATAGGACAAACTTTTGTAACGTCAGAAACATTGCCTCTCTGCCCTCCTCCTCATGTTGCCTTTTTGGTTTCATTTGGATGGGTTGGAGCTAGCTAGAAAGAGGTCCATCTTAAACATATCTTCTCATCCACATCTCTCTCTCTCTCTCTCTCAGACACACACACACACACACACAGTCTCTTCTTGAACTTTTTCACTACTTGTACGAATTTGGTTGTCTTTAGTAAAGGTATATCTTAATTTGTATTCAAGTGTGTGGATTCTTGTGTTGAATCATCTTGTAGAGTTTGTTATTCTCTGGAGAAGTTTGCTAACTGTCAGGTTTGAGCTTTTCACTTGTAATTGTTACTTGCGGCTCTCTAACTTATTCTTTGGTTCATCTAGCTAGCTACCTTTTGTAATCTAAACTAAAAAGAACGTCAACGAACCTGGACTAATCATTTGTTTCTTGTTCTTTTTTCTCCTTTTAGGGTTTCTTGTTGTTCAGATCTGTATGGTAGTAAAAAGTTGATCCGTCTTTCATCAGTTTATCTTTAATACATAAACAAAGAAAAAATAAAATTCCAGTTCTTTAATTATTGAGAGAGAGAGAGAGAGAGAGAGAGAGAGAGAGAGAGAGAGAGAGAGAGAGAGAGAGAGAGAGAGAGAGAGAGAGAGAGAAGAGAGAGAGAGAGAGAGAGGAGAGAGAGAGAGAGAGAGAGAGAGAGAGAGAGAGAGAGAGAAAGATATGAAGGGCATCTTTTTGGATGACGATATCTCAAATTTAACATCTGCATCAACTGAAGCAAGCCTATCTTCATCAAGCAACAGGAATGAAATTGGTACTATGTACCCTCCACCACAGATGCAGCAGACCTATGCTTCTGTGCCAATCACTACCACCAACCAAACTCAATCAAACAAGAAAAAGAGGAATCTTCCTGGCAATCCAGGTATAATTATTAGTGAATTACATACGTACATATTATACTTATTACAAACTTTTGTTAATTTCTTACTATTTACAAACTTTTTCATATAATTTCAAATATGAAGCATGCAGTTTTCTTATACATATATATAATTCATACATATTATATATATTACTTATAATATTCCCGATCTTTGTATCAAGAACCTGATAATCATTTTTTCTTAGATTCAATTTGGAATGTGTTTACAAAATACTGATACTTTCTATTTTTGGAATAAAAAAAGATCCAGAAGCTGAGGTGGTAGCTTTGTCTCCAAAATCACTTATGGCAACTAACAGATTCCTATGCGAGATTTGCAACAAAGGGTTTCAAAGAGACCAGAATCTTCAGCTACACAGAAGAGGACATAATTTGCCATGGAAACTAAAGCAAAAATCAAAACTGGAGGTGGTAAAGAAGAAGGTGTATGTGTGCCCAGAGCCAAGTTGTGTGCATCATGAACCATCAAGAGCACTTGGCGATCTTACAGGCATCAAGAAGCACTTCTCAAGAAAACACGGTGAGAAGAAATGGAAATGTGAGAAGTGTTCAAAGCGCTATGCTGTTCAGTCTGATTGGAAAGCTCATTCCAAGATCTGTGGCACACGAGAATATCGATGTGACTGTGGTACCCTTTTTTCAAGGTAATAGCAAGTAGTAATCAATATATACTTTTTTTTCTTGATAAAGGAAAAGATAGAATCTAATAACAAATAAACTCCAAGACCTTCACGAGGCGAACAGTAAATGACATAAAAAAGTACGTCGTAATTACTCTAATCATAGTTCAATTAATTAGTTCAAGAATCTCAGTTTTTTTGTCGACAAACAAGGGTTTTCAGAAATGCATCCTTAAAATCTTTAAGGCTTTTCGTATATGTACGTATGTCTCAACTGCAAACTCAAAACGAATTTGATTAACAGTGGATATGTCCCACGATCATGACATGGCACGTCTTCTCATGTATAGGCGTCACCTCAATGCTTATTTGTAAGCTTATTTTTGCGGTGAAAAGACTAAGCATGTGAGCTGTTGTCGGGCATACTTATTTTAAACAAGATGCTATATCATATCACATGAAATTAACCTATTCCGTTGCAATACAAAACCAACTTATACTAATCGGTATTACACTTTGATCACATATATTTATGTATCATGCAACTTACATTCTCTTATTATAGTATGATCTACAACCAATCTAGGGAAATAACCAAAAGTTATCACCAAACATGCAATTTTATTTTTTAATATATATACTAGCTAGACGTGGCAGTTATTAAAGCATTAATTTACTGTTCCATTTCCTAATAATATATAAATAATATATCTTAGTTCCATTTCCTGATAAAGAAACTTTTAAGAGTGTTAAAGCTTTAACACACACATATATATATATATATATATATATATATATATATATATATAGATAGAGAGAGAGAGAGAGAATATCTAATCTTACTATCAAAGTTCAGTCTGTACATATTAATCAAAATCACTATATATTTAAAAATTTTGATATCAAAAAACTGCAGTTGACGTATAAAATGCTTAAAACTAGACACAACTTATCATGTATAGTGATAGTTGTTATTTTCACAATTTGCTAGAAATTAAAATATTTTTTTACTTTTGAAAGTATAAGTAATGATTGGTTAAAATTTGTTCTTATTTGTTTGTCTTTTGGTACTCTACCACAGGAGGGACAGCTTCATCACTCATAGAGCCTTCTGTGATGCTTTGGCAGAAGAGACTGGAAGATCATCATCATCATCCTTAAACAACCTTCCTCTCCATTTACCTATCAATTTCCCACTCAAAGCCGAACCACATCATCTCCTCCAACACCCTCAACTGAACTTCAATGTTGGGTCAAGTAGTCCACATCATAATCATCAGTTACCATCATGGTTAGATCATCTTCACCAACAAAACCCTAACCCAAACAGTAGTCTTCACCTTCCCTCTCCTTCTTCTCACATGTCTGCCACTGCTTTGCTGCAAAAGGCTGCTCAGATGGGCGTAACCATGAGCAATCCTGCACCTCCACCTCCTTGCACAGCTCCTCCTGCTGCTGTCTTTTCCATGTCACAACAACAACAGCAACAGTCCATTATTTTAAGTGGGTCCCACCAAGCTCTTCAGCGTGATCACATGTGTGCACCTCTACTTTCGTCTCTTCATCATCATCATAATGCTTCTGCCCTAGGAAATTTGTCTGCAAGCGATAATCATCATGGGATGTTTGAAGCAAGCAGTGGGTTTCCTAACGTCAGCACTGGTTGCATGGACCAACTGCTTCATCCCAGTTCCTTGACATCTACAACCGTAGGGCCAACCAACATCCACGAAGTCTTAAATGGCATGCTCAGTTCTACAAAGAAAGATCAGCAAGGACCAGCTTCAGCAGAAACGGTCTTGAACAAGCGGAAAGAAGGTGCGGGTCTAAACGATGAGTTGACGAGAGATTTTTTGGGTCTTAGAGGATTCCCTACTCCTACTGATCACCATTTTCTTAGCATGGCTGGTCTTCAACATATGAACCCTTCTTCACCTTATCATCAGCTGAATACGAACCAGAAGCACAGTCAAAACCAAATACCATGGCAAGGTTAACTAGTTAATTTGGATAGAGATGAAATACCCATCATTTATGGTTCCCTTTAAGTTCTTTTCTCCTACCTAGTTTTTGCTTTTTAAACTTGTTTTTAGTGATGAACCATGAGCCCAGTTTTCAATTTTCTTGCATGGTTCCGGATTTGAAATATCTGAAAGCTATGAATGCTTCGAGTATTTCAAATATTACAGTTGTTCTACACTATGAGTAGTCCTGACAACTTTAAAGAAACATAACATATATAGACAAGGACAAGGAAAAGAAGTTCTTTTTGCTGTAATTAATAACAAACCACCACATTATCTACCTATTTCTCCAATTATGCTGTAAATCAGAACAAGTATATCCACATTGTGTTGGTTATGCTTCAAAACCTTGTTATTTTTATAATTTTGAGGTCTAATTCTCAAAATATTATCAGCTGATTCAGTCCATTATACCGCCTTTTAAAAAGGTCTGCGATACTTTTTAAATGTACGTTCTAATTAAACTTCATGTTTGGGGATCAACTTCCTTGCTCTCAATAAATCATAGATTAGCTTTCGAATAATATTGATCGCACGTAATCGATTTATGGGATCGTTTTCCATTTATCCTTTAATCTACATGGTTTTCGTGAAAAGAATAGCTTCATAAACTGGTTTGAGTAAATACGTGAACGTGTAATTAATAATACACAGGGTGCTATTTTAATTTAACGTATCTGGTAACTTTTTATACATAGGAAAACAACAATCTGTTTTCTGTAGAACTGTAAAACATTGGCCATTTTTGTTGCCACTTCAGCAGCAGTCACATGGCAGAATCTTTTATTTTCTAGGGTAGAATGATAATATTAGTAAGAGTGTAAAACAAACAGATTTTTGTTTCTAACAAAAAGACAAATTGCAGTAATAGCAATTTATTACTTTATCTTTTTATTAATATAGTATAACTAGTTTACTTAATTTCTTATCCATTATTGTATTATATCTATATTGTTTATCTATAATATCAACATAATAATATAAAATTTACCCATAATATCATCATGTGAACTTGCACAACGCATTCTTCTATCAAATAATTACTTATGGATGAATATTATAAAGAGTTGGGACAAACCACCCTCTATAATTTTCTAATGTTCAATTGATATACTTATAACATGATGATTTCAAATGAATATGAAAAGCTAACAAAGTAATAGATTTGTGCTTGGTTCCAACATTTGCTAATGTCAAATGTGACTTGAGCATTTAGAATAGGAGGGGAGCATTTGGTTGACGTGATTTTGGCATGTCAAATAATATGTTCCTAGTTAGACCAAAGATATAGGAAATTTAGGGTTTATGGTGGAGATCTGGATACCAACTTGGATCGTGATATCACTTTCCGAACTGATATTTCTACCCTATGTCTGGGTTCAAGAAATTCAGCCTAGGATAATCCAAGTGGATACTTACGATTCTAGGCACAGAAATCGTAAGCCAGTATGCTAGAGGATTCTGTGAAAGTATGATGAAAAACGAGAGCTTAAGATCGTATCTCTTCTGAAAAGAAGAGTCGTTTATATAATAAACGATATTAGAGTTTCATTAGGGTTGGGCCGCTATGGATTCCTTTGGAAGCAAGTCAGGGTAATCCGGATTTTAATGAGGATTTAGGGTTACCAAACCTAAGGAGTTTCGTTAGTTTTACCATAATCACCCTCAAGAATCGGAATATCCCACTATGTACCCATATGTAAAATTCGGAGAGGTTTTGGGGCGCTGCCTCTCGACCCCGCGAAGGGGGCGCTGCCCCTGTGGAAACCCCGGACCCAGGGGCACTGCCCCCGGACCCCCAACTAGTCGTCGAACCGGCGACTAATTTGATCTTATACATGCGTGCACTCTGCACCAACTCGTACACATATTAGAAAACAAATTAAGAATCCCCTTAGCTCACATGCTAATTCCAGTTACATAAAATGACATGGTGACACTAAAATCACCAACAATCTTCCCCCATTTTAATGTAACCCTTGAATAGACATAACTTTATCAAACAATCCAAACTAGTACATAATGAAAATATCGAAACGATTGAATTTCCATTTAGTATCATACATTTGCAAATACTCGAGAATCAGGGTGTTCTAAGAATTGAACCCATCAACTCATTTGAATACCAGAAAGTAAAATACATACTAGTTTATTGAATTTCTAGCAAATTACAACTTGACACTGTTATAAGGTCGTGTGTCCCAATCCTCTCATGATCGTATCAAGGTCAAGTCCACAACCTCTTGAAATGCGGCTACACTTCACAATCATGTAGGTAACTCCTTTCCATGTATTTGCACATACACTTATCAAAGGAATTATTAAGAAGTTAAACTTCAACCTGGCTAACATGCAGAACCGAACACATACCTGGGATGAATACTTCATGTGTTCCAATCTATAAGTATGAGCTTTACACATTGAATTTGTCACAACTTGCATTTTGCTAGGAAATTCTATTTCCCACATAAACATCATCCATTGTAAAAGCCTATACTCTAAGTGAATATTATACTCTATTCTCGTTCAAATACATCTCATATGTTCAAATAAGGGTTGGAAACCCTAGAAATCCCGACTCAAGTTCATTATGGATTAGGATTCTCTTATTGGGCCTAATGGGCCATTAAACTTTCAAATTGTTCATTTTGGGCCAAGTAAACCTATTTGGGCTCTAATTGGACCCACAATCATGAAACTAGAGTATTTTGGGTCATGTGGGCCTAAAATAATTCATTTATCTCTAATAGGCCTTATTGGGCCATAAATGATCTCAATTGCCCTAATGGGCCGTAAAGGCTTCTAATTGGGCTTCATAGATTCGAACAAGTCAAGAGAAGGCCTAAATTTCTTCAATCCCTTCTTCATAGCCCAATTATTGGCCCACACAAAAAAAAAATAATAAGAGGATTAAGCTTGCATGTAACACCTCAATATTGCATGGTGGTCATCCATGCACAATAACCACCATGTAACAATACAAGTTCATATATCTAGACAAATTCCTAATCTCTTCTCTTGCCTCTCTCTACTTACGGCCTAAAGCCACTCCCCACCATGATACTTCTTCATTTTCAACACATTATACTCTCTAAATTTTCCAAGGAAATCTCTCAAGAACTCATCCTCCTTCCTCTAAATTTTCGAGTTTTGGTGTGTAGTTTCAAGAGGATCTTCACCTAGATCATCATCTTTGAACCATCTAAGTTCAAGATCTACTCAAGAAAGCTTGCTAGGATCAAAAATCTTCTTCCACTCCTTCACCAAAACCGATCCATCACCCCAAGGTGAGTTCATACCCCCTATTTTCGATTTTTACTTGGTTTGGGGGAGAATACAAGTTGCTTTATGTAGATCTATGTGTATATGCATGAATATGTGTGTTTTTCATGACTTATTTGTTGATTATGTGCTATATACTTCATAAATCTAAAAATATGTTAAGAATATTAAGTTTATCACTTGGATCTACATGAAACCTTGAGAAAAGTATGTGTTATCACATATAATACATGTAAACTAGTAGATCTGGGATTTATACACTTAATTTAGTAAAAATGAGTGTTGTGTTCCAAGATCTATAAACTAAACTCAAAAATCAGCCCTTTACAGAAAAGTTTTGGTCCAATCCCGAACTGTTTTGACCACCTAAATGATAATATTTTTCAAAACTGTTTTACATGCAAAACGTTCAGGTTTCTACCTTTAAAATGACTACCCTCACGTTTTCATACGATTTTTCTACAATTTTTGGCGAATTTTACAAAACTGCCTATCAGATTTGAAATAATTTCGGACCAGCCTGTGAAGGTGAGCAATTTCACGCTTGTTAGAAGCCATTAAAAGTTATGAGAAAAATTGTGAACAACGTAGACAAAATTTCCAAACTTCCAGAATTTACGGATCCAAATTTTGACTTACGATGATTTTTCTACGAATTTTCCAAAAACTAGGTCCGAAAAGCCCAAAACCAGAAAATTTTGTGTTTTCACAAAAATCAAGCCAAAAATGATATTTTTAACAAAAATGGGTTTAAAATGTTATTTTTACCACAAACTAGTCATCAACACAAGTTTTGAACAAAATGGAGATTAAAGTGTTATTCTTACAAAAATTGGGCCTTAATTGTAAATTTTTGGCTTATTGGGCCAAGAACGTCAGTTTTACAAAAAGTGGGCTTTTATGCTATTTTAGTGAATACTTGAACCAAAACCAACAATAAACTAACAAACGGATTAATTTTGATCATTTTCTAGGTTATTGGGCCTTAGTGGCCTATTTATATGTTTGATAGGTTTTGTATACTATTTGCATGCTATTTGGGCCTATAAATACCTTACATGTGAAATGGGCCTTAGTTGTCCTTTTACATATATTTTGGGCCCATGTTATAAAATCTCATTCATATTAGGTTTTGAAATGACTCACATGTTTAGCGATGCCCTAGTGGCTCAATTACATGGTTCGTTGGACCTGGAATGAGTTTTATACGTTTATCTTTGCGTAAATTCGATTAAGGATCTAGTGAGTTTTTATCGGTTGACACCTATTAAGTGTTCGATCGTAGCCTGTAGTTATAATCAGAGTCTCTTGGAGGGAGAGCGGGGTTTTGTGTATAGATCTATACGGGGATGACACCCCACACCTGAGCTGTTCGCTACAGTTAGACTACATCAGTCTAGGGTGACTATAACCTTATTCTATTTTTCAGTCGGCGTTCACAAACGCCAAGACAGGTGAAATTGTCATTATTTATTATGGTTATAACGGCTCACTTAGAGGAATTAACGTTAGGAAGTTTGCGGAAGACTATTTTCTTTTATGTTAGATTACTAGGAAACTTACTCACACTGGTACCTCACCTCGGTGTTGGTACGGCAGCATTATCTATTTTCTGTTATGATTGGATCACTCGGTAACTTACTCACACTGGTACCCCACCTCGGTGTTGGTACGGCAGCATTATCTATTTTCTGTTATGATTGGATCACTCGGTAACTTACTCACACTGGTACCCCACCTCGGTGTTGGTACGACAGCATTACCTATTCTTCTTTTATGGGCAACATCGGGTTGTCCGGGGACATTCTATATACATTCTCTTCAATCACTTTTGACATTCTATTAAACAATAACACACATGCATTAATAGAAGATCATACATAAGCATACCAAACTATTTTAAGAAAATACAGGATTTTCTTGT